CATATTTACGTAGACACTCTGCAGACGGGGGAGATGAGAGCGGTCAACCTGTTCATAGATGCTATCGAGGTCACTGTTAGAGTTCTGATAAGGATGGAATAATCAGCCAATGTCCTCCGGTGAGATCCATAAACATTCTCGAGGTATGTCGAAGAATGGCCAAGAATAAAGTCTATGAGAATCCAAGCGTCCTGAAATGATGAAAATAGTTTATTCAGCTGGTTTCATCTGTTTATCAGTAGGAAATTCCTCAGGGAGGGGGTGGTGAGCGTCAGATCACATGTTCTCCAGGTGAATTCAGATAAGATGGCCTTCAAAGCCAGCCAAGGGAGCCAAATTCAGATAAACACAGTTGTTTTGGGGACAGGCAGAAATTAATGACATCTACCTTGAGTCTGTGTTGATCGACTCGGTTCCGAAATATCCAAATTACATGGCCACACCGATGGAACGTGACTGAGTAAAATCCCCAAGATCTGATCCATTCTGCCCAAAGCATTTGAGTCCGGGTACTCGAGACACGAACCAAGCCATCATAAAGGCAAGCAGCATGATCGGGTCCAAATTTGCTACTGACGACTTCCTTGATTGTAGATAAAACCAGCAACCAGCCAAATCCAAAAAGCAGGAACCAGTTATCGTAAATCCAATTAAATATGCATCCTTAAAATCCACAAGTGGCAGCAGAGATAGACACATTATCAAGTCTTCCAGTCGATGAGATAACCAGCTGCGTGCATGCCAACAGGGCAAATCGGCTCGCCTGAAGCCTGTCTTCTCTTTGAAGAAATGTTGTAATTTGAGTTGAGGGACCAACTGATCAAAACAAGTCCATAATTATGGTTTGGAAGAAATGCAAGAGAGTCTCAGAGCAGTTTCACAGACAGACAGAGCAGCAAAGCAAAGCAGAGAGGGAGGGAAGCATCCGATCTCGGCGAGAGCAAGTGGTGAAGTGGTGTTAGCTGCTAAAACCCGTGTTTTTAACTATGTGATAGCCTCCGCTTTAATGTTTCACCACCTCTCTGTTCCTTTCATAAGGCACAGCACGGCTAAATGAGTTCTGACCAGTGGTTTGTTTCAGGGAAGGAGGCTGAGGTCTGTTGGACCTGCAGCTTCACACACGCTTCATACTCCACCTATGGCTGAGATGGTGTAGAGGCAGGGCAGCCGGCTTGGGACCCGAAAGTCCCAGGTTCGATCCCCAGTCACTGCATACCGCGTGGTGTCTCTGGGCAGCACACCTCATCCCCAAAATGCCCCCCGGGCGCTTTCAATAGCTGCCCACTGCACCACCTGGTGGTGGATGGGTTAAATGCAGAGACTAATTTCGCCATTGTATGGAAACATACAGTGCTGACATTGTGATGACATTATTATTATTATTATATAACGCTGTTTTAAATGGTGAAAAAGCTTCGTAATGCTGAGTATCAGGACTTGTTTTCAGCGTTGTTTACAGAAAACATTTTTCTGCCCCTCATCTGACAATTTAAATCCAAACCATCTCCAAAAGAACAGCCATTGTTTCTCTTTTTGTTCAGCAGCTAAGCTGCACTTCTCCCGTGTTTACCTGTTACGCTAAACATCTCCCTCCCACCTCCTGGAGAAGCAGGAAGCGGGGAGAGCACAGCTGAAGGAGGGAGAAGGAGTGGGGCCGCGTGGGAGAAAGAAGAGCTGGTGGAATCAAAAAAACAAAAACGTCTTCTGTTACAAATAAAGTCCAGGTGTTTTTGTATTGAACAGTTTTTTGATTTTATCATGTCCTGGATGACTGAGAATCTTCACCAGCAAAGAGCAGGCGGATTTTCAAGTATAATATTGTTTATATCGAGATATTCTCATCTTAATATTGCAAAAAAAAAATGATATAGATATTTTTAAAGTATCAACATATTGCCCAGCTCACACCGTATTGTATCAGTGATTCCCCTGGATAACTTGCCATGGCAGGGCACTCATCTCGTCCATGATATTTGTTGATGGCGGGGCAGAGACACATCTGAGCCGTGCGCTGTTTGTACCAACAGTTTTTATGTCGGTGTAAGGGCAGAGGCAACGTGAGCGCTACCTTTAGCTTTTTAGCTAGTGCCTGCATTGCACACCGCTAGCTTAGCGCTACGTCAGTGCCGACGGGGTGGGGTGGGTTGTTGGCAGTTTGGTTCGGTAGGCAGGTGCTCAGTTCTCAAGATGGGGTAGGGCTTGTATAATGGTAGGGGAAACACTGCTTATTATATTACTGTTTAGTGTGTATCTTAGATCCTTGTATACTGTTTCTTTTTATACTTTATATTTTTGTTATGTTTGGGTGTAACTGGGACCTTGAGCACACAATTTTGTTCCAGCTCATGTACCACTTGTGATGCGAATGATAATAAAGACCCTTGAACCTTGATGAAGGTTAACTTTTTATACTTTGGTTACAATCCAGTGTTGGAATAAACTTTTAGTCATTGCAATTTTTTTAATGAACAAAGCCAAGCATGTTCTAATCAGGGATGATGCTTTTTAAATTGGGATTTAAAAGAAAATTAGCACCAATATTAAATGATGCCATGTAAAGCTCTGGAACAGTCACAGTAGACTTGTTCTTGTTATATAAATTTAACTTAAAATACAGCTTGAGTTTTGCTGATTTATTGTTAAGATGTGAGTAAAAGACAAACTTCAACTTGGTAGCATTAGTTACCTCCTGTGTGATTAAAGTGATTTTCTGCTCCTTTTGCCCCATTCCAAAAGCATGCTTAATGACTACCTTTTATTTATTTTTGTTGTTGGCAGCTGTAATTTAGACTTTGTGACTTATTAGATGAATTGACTGCTGCTGACCCACAGGGATTTCCATTAGTAGGTGTCTCAGTACCAGCTTTAGCTTTGTATGCTGCTCTGAGTTATTTTCTTCAGAGTGTAATTGTACCTTTCTGAGAATAAACTGATGTGGAGAAAAAAAAACAGATTCATAAAATGCAAATGAATAATGGTAATGAACTGAACTGCAAGAAAACATTGACCTTGACACTGTTGAGATGAAAGTGCAATTATTAGCCTTCAGAATTTATTTCCACTGATACTGTGAGCATTGTGGGGGGAAATGGCACGTCTTCCTTGTATACTTCATGATTCTTGACTTCAAACATCCAGCCTGCCTGGCTTCATTCAAGTGTACTAACTGCATTAAAGTTACTGTCAATTGTACTGTGTGTCCTTTAACTTTTGATACTCAAGGTAGAGACTGATCCCATTTGATGTTATGATCACATGTTACATGAATAAAAGCAAAGAAATCATTCAAACATGAAAATATGCATGTTCACTCTTAAAGTTTACTAAACAACTCAGTTCAAAAATGACACAACATGAATTAAGGTGCACTGATTGATTCATTGGCTAAATGATTAGGCTGATTTTAGTCCTTTTTTAAGTACATAAAAAAATGTATTGGTAAACTTGAAAATGAATCCTCGTGACTCAATGAGACTATAAATAAAGGTTGAATGAATGAAAAAAAAACGTGTGCTGAAGGGTCCATCCACACGGGAACAGTGTTTTATGTTTATCATTTCAGCCTTGCATCCATGACAACACAGTATAGTTACTACAGTAGTCCCTCGTTTATCGCGAGGGATCCATACCCTGAAGACCCGCGATAAGCGAAAAACCGCAAAGTAGGAATAGTAGTACAAGTCAGTAGTAGTTTATTTTATTATTTATTTATATTTATATATATATATAAAGGCGTCTTAAACCCCTCGCACACTCTTGCAATATTCTAAACAATGTTTCTAAACTCTAAATGCTGTAAAAGAGCACAGAATGTCATGATTTCAGCTCCCTGCCTCTGCTGCTCTCAGCCACCTGCCATTACTTTTGGCCACGCCCACTTCTCTGCTCTGCATGGAGAACAGCTGATCAGCTGCTGCAGGAAGTTTATCCTGCAGGTCTGGGCTGCACAGAGGTGCAGCAGGTGCCAAATAATTTAAAATAAGTCATTTTAAATAAAAATTCCATGTCGATCGTGCGACTCATCCGTCAATCAGCCAATTGTGTGTCATGTCCAATCTTATTTTGAAAAACCGTGATAGAGCGAGTCCGCGATAAACGAACCGCGAAGTAGTGAGGGACTACTGTACACCATTTTGGGTTGTTTTTCATGTTTCCATGTGGATGAAGACATTTCTAGATGGTGGCTTGTTTGAAGATATTTTTAGGAGGGACAAATAAAAAGATTGTTTTATAAAAACTCAGTTTCTGCATGGACAAGTTCTAAAAGAGAAGTACTGTGCATCTGTGAGCACTGCAGTGTTGCTTTATGTGACACTACTACACCCCTTTGTCAATGTGCTTCTTATAACCGGGGGCTTTTCACAGCAGGGATGCTTTTTATTTCAGTATATTTACAAAACCCAAATTAAGTTGACTGAAATATTATTATGCTAACTGTTCACAAACAATGTTGTGTATATCAGAAAAAATATTAAGAGTATAAATCTTATCTTTCAGAGCCCTAATTAGGATTCTGAAGACGGTAAAGTGTGCAAATAGTAGCCCAATATATTGTCCTTTTTACAGTTACTAATACTCATGGTTAAAGCCAGTATTTTGTAATACATTTTGGTCTAGGCAAGGTCTTGCTTTTTTCTGGTTTAAGACACTTAGTCTAAACACTGTTCATATCTACCTCCATTTCTGCTGTGCTCTGCAGTCATTCTGACACCCAGCAACGTTACACGTCTCTGTCAGTACATGAAAATACTATTGAAACTCATTTATTAAAACGTTTATATGAAGTTCATTAAAAAGCAGGTGTAAAGGACCAAAACCACAGAGATGAATGCTGACCAGAAATAAATTTAATCCTATTGAAGAATGTTGTGCCCGATTTTACGTATGCACGTTAGTAACTGTAATCAGGTCAATTATGTTTTAAATCTAACAAATAGGCTTCATAAATCAGGTATACACGTTCAACATCACATCTCTCAGCTATTTTCTTTGCACTGCAGCTCATCGACCAGGAAATTAACCCTTACGTTGATCAGTGGGAAGCAGAGGGGACATTTCCAGCCCACAAAATCTTCAAGATCTTGGGGAATGCTGGCTTTCTTGGAGTCAACAAACCAGTTGGTAAGACAACAAATATCACCTGCACCTATGAGAAGTTGGCATTCAAAACCCAACAAAGGAACATTTATTTTTATTATCAGACTTTTTGGTGATGCAGTAGCTCTGCAGTAATGCCCCAACCACAGTCTCCAAGGTGCTCCCCTGTCACTCTGCTTTTATGGAGCTTGACATGAAAATAATTGCTTACATTAGTGAAAGGTACATTTTTGTCAGTTTGGGCATTTGTTTTCTCAGATGTTTATTCAGTTACATTTGTTGAGATGTATGTTAGTAGCAAAGCCATTTTGTTCAGTCTTAATCAGTCGCTACTTGTTTTATTGAAACTAGTATTCATTGAAAGAAGGCCTCTGCTGCTTTCTTGTAATATAATTACACAAGCCATTATACCGTATTTTCCACTGTACATGTTGCACCATCCTATAAGTCGCATTAGTCCAAATACATCTAATAAAGTGGAAAAAATCCATAAATACTAGGGGTGTAACAATACATCGATTTACATTGATTAATCGATTAAATGATTGATTCAATTATATTGTGGCAAAACTAAAACAATGATTCATATTGTCATCTTTAAAATACGCTTTTATTTTGAAATTCCCAAGGCATGTCTGTGTCACCATTTCCGTGCACGGCTGCGCTCTGCGGCCGCCTCAGCAACATGGCAGACAAGACAGAAAACACGGATAATGAACTTCACTCTCCTGCTGGATTTAAATCAACTCTGTGGAAACATTTTGGATTCTGACAGAAGGACGGCTCAACACACAGAACTCATGTCGTATGCAACAGGGGTGTAAATCACCAGCTTTATCATGATACTATATTATATTGATTTGTTTGTATGACAATATGATTTTTCTCTATCACAAAGTCTGTCACGATACGATTTCAATTCTATTCGAGTCATAAGTCTGCGATCGATATATTGCAATATCAAATGCCCATCTCATTTACATATAAATAAATTTACAAAAACAATTCAAATGGGATTTAACCATTTTATTTATGTTATTACAGGCACCAGGCATAAAATAAAAAAAACAACAACATTTTTTCTTAATTAATAAAAAAAAAAAAAATAAATGACCTGTTCAGTATAATCTCACATTTCTCATGCTTAAGTGCATTTTTTTAAACCATCCATCCATCCATCCATCCATCCATCCATCATCTTTTACCCGCTTCTTCCATTTTGGGTCACGGGGGTCGCCGGTGCCCATGTCCAGCAATCACTGTGCGAGTGGCGGGGGACACCCTGGACAGGTCTCCAGTCCATCACAGGGACACATAGAGACAAACAACCATTCACTCTCTCACTCACACCTAGGGACAATTTAGAGTTACCAATCAGACTAACGTGCATGTTTTTGGTCTGTGGGAAGAAACTGGAGTACCCGGAGAAAACCCACGCATGCACGGAGAGAACATGCAAACTCCACCCAGAAAGGCCCCTGGACTGGGATTTGAACCAGGGACCTGCTCGCTGAGAGGCAGCAGCTCTACCGTTGCGCCACCGTGCTGCTACAATAACGACTAATTATTGAAAAATTTAAAAAAACAGACATAGAATCAAAATCATATCGTGACAGACTTTGTGATATCAAGAAAAATCGTATCGTCATACAAACAATCAATATAATATCATACCGTGGTAAAGCTGAGGATTTACACCCCTAATGAATATGTCGCTTCGGCATACAAGTCGCAGGGCATGCAAATTATGGAAAAAACTGCGACTTATATGTTGAAAAATGCGGTAATAAATTTAAAATGGTTATGCTTTAAAACGTTGAAACATTTTTGTCAAGCACTTTTAAGAAGGGAAAATAATATTTGAAATGATAATTTCCAGATAACAAGGAGTCACATCATACTTTGTCTGCAATCATAAACAGCCGTTTTTAGGTCAGCGGCCGACATTCTGAAAATCTAGTTTTCACGCTTGCCAAAAGTCCCAAAACCCAGAAAGTTTTTGGTTTGCAGAAAATACATCTTTACATGAAAAGTATTTTGCGAATATTTCTTTAGGGCTCAGAACCCAGACCATTTGTATTCTCGTGTATTCCAGCTTGTAATCCAAATGCAAACATGAAAACTGATTAATCATCCTCGCCTCAGTCGGCATGATAAATGTTATCGAGACATTCTGTTTCTGATTTCATTTCAAAAACTCCCATGATAAATCTGTGACACATCCGACGACAAGAAAACCCTTGTCCCAGAATAAATATTGCAGTGACTGACGCCATGTTTAACCTAAGAAGACAGTCAGTGCCCTGAGACGACTTCTGTTGTGACTTGGCACTATATAAACTGAATTGAATAGAATCATGACAAACCATCATTCATACAATGTCATTGAAATAGTGGATGGAATGTTCTTCAATTAAGAATGGGTGGATTTTATGTCAGAGTGAAAATCGAGAAATTATTATTTTTTTTAACTACAGTAAAAAATATTATAATTAGTGCATTTTTTTTTTACAACTAATCTTTCTGACTTTCTCTTTTTTAAAGCCATATTTTAATTTTTCTGATTGACAAAAATTCCTGCTGTGATGATTGGTGCTGGTTTCATATTCCCACAGCAGCTACTGTAGATTACTGTATATCTCATGTACGTGTGCACCCAGCCGCATCAGCCAAATGGCAGCAGAAAATGTTCGTGTGCCAGTGATATGTTCCCACTGTAACAAACTACTTTTTAAAAATTAATTTAACAGATCTTTACATTTGGGGATACAGTTGTGGTCTAACATTTAGCCTTTGACCCTGAAAAGAACAAATGTGTGAGCACAAGTGTGACAGGGTGAGCCTCGTGAGTCCACTGAAGAAGCTCCACTCCATGTCTGTAGGTCAGAGAAGGAGGAGGGCGCAGGAATTAAAAAGTGCTGAGTGCACAAGCATTAAGCATTACTTGACAAGATTAGAGAGGAGGCCAGCAGAATAAAGGGTCATCAGGTGGAGCATCTAGACTGTTATTATTTGTCATTCAGACCTAATTTTGTTCAAGGATTGCAGTAGCACGTTTAACAACTTTAAATCCCTCGTTTCTTTTATTCAATTAAATCATATTTGGCTTTAAATTGATAGACTTGCAAAATGGTAAAGCACTAACTTTGCTCCACTTCTCTGTATGTTTTTGCTGATTTAGGTTTAATAATAATAAGAAACACAAAAGTCTGCAACAGGAGACTTAAAAAGCATGCAGTCTAAGTAACTATGAGCCTGCTGACTAATGAAGCAGGCTTAAAGAATGCCACATTGGGTTAATTGATTTCTAAGGCTGGATTAAAGGAGTGGGAGCAGGGATCTGGGAGTTTGTTTAATGGAGAAATGATCATCAGGTGAAATGAGATTAGAGGCCGGCAGGAATAAAAACAGAACAAACATTTATATTGAGTCTAATAGGAGGAATACATTTACAATATAATTTGTATTTTGTATACGTTATTATAATATGTATTTTTTTATAATTATTAAATATTTAACCAGTTTCATACTTTTTAGTAGTTAAATAAAACCATTGTTTGACGGCCTTTGTTAAATATAAAAAGTTAGTGTTTCAGTCATGCATTAATTTCATGTCAAGCGATGAAAACTGAAAACTGATCTCATTCTACAGTCATTTAAAAGCAACAGGAGCATAAAAACATCCTGTTCACTCTTGAATGACATCACCTGAAATATGCAACTATTGAGCAACAAAATAGCCTCTGGTGGTCAAATCAAAAAAAGAGGTTCCCTCTCAAAATGGGGTACAGAGTATGTACATGGGGTACATATGTATGTATGCATGTATGTATTAAAATGTATGGGGTACATACTACCTCACTTCCTGTTTTCATCATCAACATTTTCAACTAAATAATGGTTTTAAGTTGCAAAGGCTCAGGGGATTAGTTTTGTTCGAGCTAACTTTGCAGTTGAAAAGACATTTTGATGTGTAAAACGTTTCTAAACTTTTCTAATTAATGGTTCTAATGTACGATGCATTAACACTGAGCTAATGTTAATGGACGACTGTGGCGCAGTGGTAGGTAGGGCAGCTGACTTGGGACCAGAAAGTCTGGTATGTGTCCTGGAGCAGGACCAACGGCTCCCCAGGTGCTTGCATCACTGTCTGCTGCTCCACTTGGGTGCATCTCACATGTGATCAGTCAAATGCAGAGAACAAACTTTGTCATTGTATGGGAACATACAATGATGACAATACACAGCGCTTTTACTTTTAATAGTTGCACTACAGTGTATGAGGAGTGGGCCTGCTCAAAGTATTCACCTTCACCAAGCGGAGAGCCATTTCTCTCCAGACTCAGCCTTCATGAGCTAAATAAACAGGTTTGTTACCAGTCTTTTGGTGAATTTAGAAAGCTGACATACGAGTCAAGATTTCCCGTTTTGTGGGTTTGCAGTTTTTGAAATGTATAGCAAAATGGGTTTAGAATAGAATAAAATAGAATAGAATTCAACTTTATTGTCATTGCACATGTCACAAGTACAAAGCAATGAAATGCAGTTTGCATCCATCCAGAAGTGCTTAACAAAAAAAATAGTATATATATTACAATATACAGTAAGTTGTTTTGAATATGCTATAAGTATAAATAAAATAAGAAAGAAAAATATATATAAGTATGTGAGTACTTATGAACAGTAGGTAGTAGATTATGTGTACAGTATGTACAGTAGCGGGCTAACAGATGAAAGTGCAGGTGCTGGTGTTTCAGTCCAGGTGTTGTGTTTAAGCATCTTATAAAAGCTAATGGTTTCAAAATTGTTTTCCAGCAAAAAGCCACTATTTTAGTAGGGATGCACCGATCCACTTTTTCCACTTCTGATACTGATACCTATATCTGAGGCTTGGCGTCGCCGATACTGATCCGATACTGATCCGATACTGATCCGATGCAGAAAAGCTGCGCTGAATTCCGTTCAACAAACTCATCGTGCTCTTTAGGGTGAAATCTTTGGAGATGCTTGATTAAGTTGGTAGT